GGAAGACGATGGTTCGTATTATTTATAGATTCATGTGCAGTTCTAGAAGTAGATGCTTCTGTTTGAGTGTCACATGCGGATGTTAAGGTTGAAGATCCGGCCAGCCCGATTTAGGACCATAGTCATAGCCCATATTGAAAATTCTTGAACGAAATAATATTGAACTTGTACTTCACAAGTCATACATTACTAATAATTAATCTACCGATGGACATAAAACTAAACTTGTATTCTACAAATAAAAGATATAGTTACACTATTTAGTCCCGATTATCATCGATAAAATAACATATTTTTACGAATCTTACGAAAATTTTTGAGAGAGGTGAAGCAACAACGTCTTACCTAATCATCACCTCTCGCAGAACTCACGAGATAGAGTGATTGCGGTGTTGAGGCTAATGACTGCAATAGAAGACACTCATTTGCGGCGCCTTTTAATTATTTGTTTTCGAGAATTTTTACTAGCCCATATTAAAGCACTAGCCCACATTCAGTTACTTTCCTCTACTATGGTACAGAAGAAGAATATTTAGAAGATTTTGTAAATGAGAGTTTAGTTTTTCTATATTATAGTGGTGTTTTATATTGTGTGTAATAAATATTAATCTTAATGAAAAGTTGAATATAAATTTCGATGAGATGTAATCATTACTTTGTAATGGAATAATTATAAACGAGAAATGGTTATGCGGAAATGATTTGTGTATTTTTAATTTTGTTCGAGGGTATATTGCTGCCAAGTGTTTCTTTCCATAATCTCTCTGTAATTAGGGAGGAGGGGGGGTCGTTCCTAGATTCGTCGCGCACCGCTCTTGCTTCGCACCGCTAGCCTAGATCGCATCTCTGGGGCGCCCCACAAGAAACCACATCACGTCGCGCCAGCTCCTATTTGCAACGCACCACCGCAACAGAAGCGTCGTCCACAGCATCAGAATCACACCCCGGTAAGTGCGTTTCCAATAAATTTGCTACTTGAGCCTTTTGTCCATGTTCATCGTAAGACCTATCCGTTGGGAGGCACTATTCAGGTCATTGGGCATAGTGCTTAAGTCCTCCAGCGATTCTGCCATAAGGACAATATCGTCGGCAAGGTGAGTGATGTACTCGCCATTAATGTTAATACCGTATCCTTTCCAGTCCATATAAAAACATAACATAACAGTAGTTTGAAAACGTCTTCCAATGCAGCGGTGAAGAGTTTCGGGGAAATAACGTCACCCTGTCTTACACCTCTGCAGTTGGATAGGTTTCATACTCTGGTTCTGTACTCGGATAGCCATCGCAGCCCTATTGTACCAACACTTCAGCACTTCGATATACCGACAGTCAACTTGGCACCGCTGAAGAGACTGTAGCAACTCCCAAATTTGGACGGAGTCAAAGGCTTTCTCATAGTCCACATACGCCAGGCAAAGTGGCAGATTATACTCTTCGGACTTCTGTACAATTTGCCGAAGGGTATGTATGTGGTCTATGGTACTAAAGCCTATTCGGAAACCGGCTTGTTCGGGAGGCTGGAAGTCGTCGAGTATGCGTGCGAGACTATTCGTAATGACTTTCGAAAACAGCACGTAGACGCGGCTCAGAAGGGATATCGGTCTGTAGTTCTTCCGGACGGTGTTGTCACCTTTCTTGAAGAACAAAACCGGCGCACTTCTGCTCCACGCCTCCGGGGTAGTGCCACCATGGAGGATAGAATTAAAGAGCCTCTGAAGGAATTCGAGTACCGGTTATCCACCCGCTTTCAGAAGCTCCGCTTTAATTCCACCCTCGCCATTCGAAGAGAGAGCCATTCTAATCTCGCTCAGACTGATGTCCAGGATATCATCGGAATAGTGTCGGATAAGACTTCCTCTTGGATCGTTACTCACACTTGCGTGTGGCTCTCAATCTCACTCAGAATCTCAGGTGTCCCGGAAACGATGCTGCCACACTCAGTCTTCAGCTTTGACAGTTGGCTCTTACTGGCAGACAGATCTCTGGCAAAGACTTTGGAGCCCTGGTTCCGCTCGATCGCTTCTTCAATACGAGCAGTATTAAAGTTGCGTAAGTCTCGCCGCATGCATTTAGAGATCTGTCTGTTCAGTTGACTGTATGCTGTCAAATCTGTTGACGATTGCATCCTCATCTCCCGTCTAACAGCCATGAGATTAAGAGTGTGATCGGAGTTTTTGCGTTCTTCTGGGGCGGGTCTTGCAGAACTTAGCTCCGACCGCATGGACAGTTTCCACGAGCTTGTCATTCATATCGTCCACTGCATTGCAATCCTCTAGGCACTTAAAGCGGTTTTGTAACTCGAGCTGAAATGTTTCGGGATTCTTCTTCTTCTTCGGGTTTCTGGATTAGAGCGTGAGGGGGACGGAGCGTTGACTTCATTACACGAGACCTCTCCAACTTAACGTTTAGGTTCAGTGTGTCTCTAACCATTCGGTGATCGCTGCCAGTTTTCACCCTTGCGATCACTGAGACAAGTCAAAAGAGACTTTCAATAAGTATTGTTTATAATCTACATTGAATAAAAAAGTTTCTGTTTCTGTTTCTATAAAAAACCACAAAAGACAAAAATTACACGTCACCATAGACAAGTCAACTTACGGCAAAAAACGGCCTTGAGCCAAATAAAACTACATGAAAATATTTTATTAATTTATATGTACGCTAATTCTTACAAATTAATTATATCCAAGATATTTGTGAATGTCAAAATATGTCATAATGAAAATAAATTGAACTAAACCCACAAATTTGTAAAGCAACACAAGTGTTTGTGGAACAAAAGAAATCAACACTTTATTATTTATTATACAAATTAAACACAACATATTTGCTTGCAATTGTCATAATGTGTTATCAAGTAGAATTTTTTATTCATTTTTTAATTTGTTACCACACAAAATTCCCATTGTGAGCAAATTGTATTTTCTTATTAGTAGGAAATAAGATGTTCCACAAATAACTACTTGGAACAGATAACAAAAAAAACAAAACTGATTTTTCTTTATTTGATTTTTCTTTTCTTGATTAAACTTGGCAGACAAACGAAGCGAAACCTTAATTAATGGACTTAACTAAAAAAAAAATTATATTGAAACCAAAACCTAACCTAAAAATGTCATTGATAAAAATGTCACTCAGTTCCCGCCAGAATACACACAAACCCAAAATTACTATTTCTTGGCAGAAAAAAGTTAATGAAAATGATTTTTTTTAACTAAGTAAAATATTAAATAAAACTAATTAGGTAATTGGGGGTAACTCCGTTGGCGAATACTGATACAAAATAAAATAATCATCACTAAAAAAAAACACTTAAAACCGCAGTCACAACATTCCGATTTATTTTGCAAAAGTGCGATCCGTAAAACTGACTGTCGCCTTAATTGATTACAACCTATCACGTTATAACTCAATGCAGGCTTTGTGATGGATTAATGAATTTTATCGTTTATATCAGTTGAAGGAATTTGGAAAACCACCTTGAGGCCTTTAAAATTAGTAAGCATTTTTCATATTCGACAAACGTAACAGATAATATCGAATAATGATTTCTTATATTTACGCGAACACTACACATTGATTAAAACTACTGTTACGGATTTTATCGCATTTAATTTTAATTATTTTTGATTCCCGGCGTTTCTCAGTCCCCCGTGACCATGGCTGCTGGAAAGCACCCGAAACGTCGCGAATTAAAAATATGTAATTAAAATAATTAAACGCGATAAAATCCGTAAAAGTAGTTTTAATCAAGATATTATCGAATTAAGAACTTGAAAAGTAGGCACAGTAAGAACATAAAAAAGATTTTGAAAAGTAGGCACAGTATTAATGACGGTGTAGCAAATGAGTCGGCTATGGCTAGAACTAAACGAAGAGCTATAGAAAGTATAATACGAAGCTGTACAAAAGTAATACTTTCAAAATAAGATTACAATTTATTCTTATTTGTCAATGTCGGGTTCTATAAAGCAACCTAAAAGTTATGCCTAAGTTGTGGTTGTGAAAGTACCCCACAATAATGATTTCGGTAGAACAGCTCAATATTATATACCGTCTCTAAGTGGTCAGTCACGTTCGGAAATACGAAGTTATAAATTTACTCAAATTTTCTTTGAAGCAAAAGTAGCCTTATTGTCAATGATATGGACTGCAAACTCAAGTGTCGTGGGTTCGGAACCGCCATTCAACTATTGTCATGGTCATGAAACATAAGTCTAGCTTTATGTAATTTGCATTATAGTGGCAGAATGCCAAGAAGACCACAAATACAATCGTCATGATTGTGTTTAGAAACTATAATTTTTTATATTTTAATTTCCACGTGCCCTTCAAGTGACTTTATGAATATTTATGATGAAGTATCCTTTTCTGATAGTATAATTTGACTAAGGAAAAATTTCATAATTTTCCTCAAAATGTCTTTAAAGCAAAAGCAGCCCTAATGATACGGATTGCAAACTCAAATGTCGTAGGTTCAGATCCACCATTCCAACCACTGTCAGCCACTGTAATAAACAAGAATAGGTTCAACTAATTTTGTTTATTACAGTGGCTGAATGTCCATAAGACACTACAAATGGAATCGTCATGATAGGGTTTAAATGCTATTATTTTCCATATTTTTTATTTTAAATGCCTTTCAAGTGATTTCTCTGGAATTTAATCTGTGAAATATATCCAACTTTCTTCATAGTAATGCACACTACCATTTCTATTGTTGTGATTATCAGTAACCCTATTACATACCGGGGTATTTGCTTGATATTTAAGGTAGGTCTTTATATTTTTCATATCATAGACTTTCTTTCCACCATGGTTTGAACTTAGTAGTGGTAGATATATTTGTTTTCCTTGTTTGTAAATCATTGGTTATTTTTGGAGCAATTTTCTAATTCAACGTTTGCATTGATATCGAAATTTGTAAAATTGGTTTTGTTTTGTAGTGTATCTCAATTAACGATTTTTTTACTATAAATACGCATAAGACCATGCGATTCTTAATCACGTCGATTATCAATACCTATCCTAGAAGCTAAATTTACATTTGAACTGTATAAGAAGTTTACATTAGTATGAGTTGTAGAGCAAACAGCCTTATTGTTGTTAAAGCTACAAGTATGTTCTTCTTTCTAAAATTGCATAATGAACTATTTTGTAGCGCGTATTCTTGAATTATTTATAGAAATTATTAAATTTTTTTATTAAATCAGTTACAACTGGCCATCCATTACCTAAGTCAGATTCTAAACTTGGTTGCCTATTTGTTATAAAATTCCCCTCTTTGTCTTCATTTGAAATCAAGATATTATTTACTAGATTACTTTTTATATTTTTCTGATTAGTAAAACCAGCTTCTAATTCAACAAGGTGTAACACATTTTTACAATCAAAGGTATTCTTTTTTCCGTTTATATTAATCCTTTTTAATTTAGTTGTGTCGCTTGAATTTTTGGGTCTACAACGTAATGATTTAGAAGTACTTGAAACTACTTTAAAACAACTTACACGTTCTTTATCATTGCTATCAACACCTAAAGAGTCTTTACTAAACATTGAATCAACTATTGAACTTTTTTCTAATATATTATTGTTACTACTACACTCAGTTTGACTTATTTCTTTGTCTACATCATTTGTCCCGCCTTTTCTAATCGAATGTTTACTACTACCCGCAAAAACATTGGCTACATTATTAGATTCATTTTGTTCGTTTTCTATTACACGTCTCTCAGTACATTCGCTATATTGTGCATAAGAATTAATAGAAACATCTTCAAATTCGTTCAACTGTGTGGTCCCTGAATGCACAGTGTTACGGACATGTAGGTTGTTGCCCGCCAAGGCGAACAGTGCGTTCGGATCTGGAATGTGTATATCGCAGACGAAATTATCCAGCTCGATTGGTTTCTTAACCCACCGTCCGAGGTTTGCTTTTTCGAACGCCTCCACCAGACATTCTTTGGCTACCTGAAATGTATCGATTTGACAATAAGCGAACACGAACAGACCAAATTATGTAAAAGATTCAAACACCCCATATCATCCCGTGGGTGTCCTTAATAAAAATACTATACAAACCTTATGGTTTCTGATAGATGACAGTATAATCATCTCGTTTACACCTGTCGTAAAATACTCAAACAGGTTTAGGTTTGTTTATACGTGGTGGAGCCATGCTACAGCTACGAGGGCGACACTGAAAGTTTTTAGAACTGGCCGCTTATAAACGATATAATAAAAAAAAGTTAAAACTTTTAAAATGGAACTCTTTGCCAATATTATTGTGTATGTATTTTATTAATTTGTCATTTGTTTACGATTTGGCGGCAAATTGTCTGTGTCACGTCAGCATGAATTTAACGCGAAAAATTTTCATACAATATTTTTTATGACTTTCGATGTCATTTAAGTCGACAAGAAAGATATGATAGACTTCAATTGGCCTTTCACGATGAAGCCCCATCTCGTGCCACTGTTTACAACTGGTTTAATGAGTTTAAACGTGGTCGCACTAATCTCACCGTTGATCTGCAACTGCTGCGTTCTACGGCAACGACTGAAGATAACATCAATGTTGTGCGGTGTATGATAGAGACTGATAAGTCATATCAACAGATTCGGACAAGCTCGGTATGAGTCAAGTGCATAAAATCCTCCATGAACATTTAGCGGTCAGGAAGCTTTGGTATGAAGTTTGGAAGCCCGGTGTATAATTTGACAGAGGCCCAAAAACTCCGTCGTGTTGATTGGTGTCATGAAATGGTTCAAAGATTTAACTGAGGTGACTCAAATGCTGTGTTCGACAATATTACGGGTGACGAAAGCTGGATTTATTGTTATGATTCTGAAACTAAGAGACAGTCTGCTGTCTGGGTGTTTCCTGCCAAAGAATTGCCAACTAAAGTGAGGAGAGGTCGAAGCGTGGGAAAAAAGATGGTGGCCTCGTTCTTCGAAAGGACAGGTAATTACGCAACGACTGTTTTAGAGGATCGAAAAACAGTTGTTACAGAGTGGTACACTAACAATAGTTTGCCACTTCTCTTGGAAAAAGTTCGGGAAAAACGACCTCGCAGTAGGATCCTTCTTCACCAAGACAACGCCTCGTGGCACACCGCCAAGCAAACAATCGACTACTTGGCGACGTTAGACATGGAGTTACTGGGTCACCCGCCCTGTAGCCCCAACCTCGCACCTTGCGATTTTTATTTAATTCCGAAAATAAAAGAAAAACTTCGAGGATAACGTTTTGTGGACGCCGAGGAAGCAGTGGCTGCGTTTCAAAATGCCGTCGAAGAAGACCTCTAAGGACGAGTGGGCAAAGTGCTTTTCTCAATGGTTCCATCGGATAAATAGATGTGTTGATGTCAATGGACACTATTTTGAAAAGATATAATAAAACGAATAACTTGCTAGTGTGTTCATTTTTTGATTTTCTAAGAACTTTCAGTGTCACCCTCGTATGTTATTGTTGTAGCACGAATGGGTCGGCTCGACCAGGGCAGGACCACACTCTCACTGAATACTAGCTTAAAATATGTGTTTCGTATGATGAGTGTAGAGAACTGGTGACCCTTTTAACTGCAAATGAGGCATTTTCCCTTTGTTCTCAGGTGTGACAACACTTTTTCATAAAAAAATGTAAAATAATGTATCGGGCAAAAAATAATGTATCGGGGAGCATGTTACAAGCGCGAGACCTTTGTTCACATACTTAAACTTTTAATAATGGGAAATCGTCTCTACACCGAACTCAACCGTGAACTGGCGCTCTTAGAATATCCGCTATCCCATTACGTCCCGTGGGTGTTGTGAAGGCGACAGAGGGAAACTGAACTAAAAGATGGGCGGCAGTACTTTCTGATTACAGCTATATAAAAATAAAAATTGTGGTTGCCAAGCCAACTATGGCAAATGTCAGATAATCTATGGGAGGGCTATGTTCAGCAGTGGAATTTTTGTAGACCTATGGTAATGGTGATTTCTACACCGGAAGAGAACCACATCTAACTTCTGGACTCCTACGGTTTGGTGAAAAAGTAAATCTTATAATACTCCATTTAATATTGAATGTAGGATTTTTGAATGTGCTGTTTATAATAGCGGGAATTCAGTTTACTAGGTAGCAGGACTTGTCTTCTGACTAGGAGTCTGTCTGGGAAGAACACTGGATACTGAATAGACCAGCCTTTTACTTACACACACCTAAGACTTGTAGAGCATAAGAGACTTCTCAAAGCATAAGATTTTTAAGACGTGTAGAGAACTAGTAAAATCACAAGATTTGAAAGTTTCCATCTTGTTTTATTTAACAGAAAACGAACACACAGTCTACCTGGCAATAAGTAGATACTGTGGGCCATGGACATCTACATTTATCTTCAATTAAGAAATGCAGATGAGGACTAAGATGGAATGCCTCGTTTCCAGTGAAAAGGGTATCTGCTATTTAACAACCAGCGTGGCTCTACCACCACGTCTTCGTGCTGAAAGTTGACAAAGCATCTGTGTACTTTTTTTAGTTTGAAGTTGTCTGCAGTTATCTATCGGTATCAATAGTCACTTACCATCAAGTGGACTGTTAGCTTGTGTGCCTAATAGTTTACGATTCCGCTAAAGTTCAAAGGGCTCCTTCCATTGTAGGGAGGATTTGCCTCAATCATCACACTAGGTAGACGAATTGACGATCGCAGTACCACAGGTGACGGACTTTAACGCCGGTGCTCGTCATTGGTCTTTTTCAAGCGACATAAACAAGATTGTTATACCGCCTTAAGTAGATTTGCGTGTTTATTTTTGGATTTCATGTGTTAATCTTTTTTATTAAATAAAAGAAGACTAAGATACTCCTTATAATATCAGCTATCTGCCAGTGAAAGGAACCGTTTAAATCAGAGATTAGTCGGTTCTGGTGTTTAAACTTACATTCTAAATCTCACTTGTAATAATATCTAGATATTATTACAAGTGAGATCAATTAAAACTCAACTTTATAATATTAATAATATATTTAATTAAATTAAAAGAAGAAATACATATAGGTAATCAACTTTAGTTTTGAAACTAATCTAATGAGAAGGATGAATTAAATGATTTGTAATAATTTTGTTGATTGACCGGGTTCGATTTTACACAAAAACAGTCGCAAGTCGCCGCATCAGTAAATTCAAACGATTTCTTTTTCAGTAAGCAGTGTTATCACAACGCTAAATCCACGTTCACGCAAATATGACGATGGCTATTAAAAATCGTTGAACGATCGACCACAATCCAGGGTACAACTGCGGAATTAACTTTTGCAGCCAAAATTCTTGATAGCCATTTTTGAATTTGATTTTTATTTCCACGTTGGTTATCACTTCTGAAAGTTCTTCTTCCAGTTGAGATGATACTGTTATGTTGACATTTAAGGATCTAACACCCAGTCAGGTATTTCCAATTTCGAAATGTCCTGGAATCTTTTAATGAAATCGCTGTGGAGATTTTACAAATGTTGGCAGTAGACAAGCAAGACGTCGTTGTTGCAGGATACTGATAAATTGGGCACAATATGGAACTCTCGTCTTCTTTTTTTATTGAAGAGGGGCAAACGAATTAACAACCGCAACACCGACGTGCCGGCATGGAATACTGTCTCACTCTGCTGAGCACGACAAGCTTTTTAGAGGCCAATTTGGCCTTCTCTTCCAAGTGACCACGAAACTGCACACTGTTCGACATGTCGACACCGAGAATTCCGATGTTAGCTGAGGCAACAAGGGGAGTGCCTTGAAACTGAGAAGATACGACAAAGGGGTTCTTTTCAGCGGTAACCGCGCAAACTTGTGTCTTCTGGGGATTGAACTGGACTATATTTAAACGCTCCCAATCCGAGACTTTGTTCAGCAAAGACTCGACTTCAGACACAAGTTTGTTCCGGTACTCAGCGACGTTTTCCGGAGAAATATCGGCACGGCCGTTTGTTTTATTTTTGTGTAAGAGCAGTTTGGCTACGATATCAGCGACGACTTTTTTGTTTTTATAAAGTTCAAGTCATCGCCTTGAAGTTCACATCATTATGCAATTTATAAAGGTCTGTCAGGTATCATCAGCCATCATCGTAGTGAAATTTTAAACTTTTAATTATATGGTAATTGCTTAATATGTGAAGGTATTTTGTTATAAATAGTGCTGCACATTGCGTTGCTATTTTTTGAAAGCGCTTTTATTTTAGAATTGTGTCAAGTACTAGTTTATGTGGATTCCGTAAATTTATTTTTATTGCATCTTTAGCTTGTAAATATATATCCCATCAAAAACATAAATGTGAAATGAGTTCCAAGTCAAAGTTCCAGTCCAAGTTCAATATTATGATATATGCCTTGGTTGTTGTCTTCAAGAAAGTGAGATCTAAATGGGTGCCAAGTTCAATGGTCAGACCTGAAATTTATTTATAACAACATAAAATATCATTTCTTCTTATAACTTAGAATAATATATTGTAGCCTAAGGTCTGACTTGGCTAGTTCTCATATACGAATTATTATGTTCGATGGCTAGATTCTACCAGCAAGCCAAAATGTCAGAATAATTAAATACGAACCGACGAGTAACAGGTTTAGAACTTGCAAGGGCTATAATATAATCCGTATATGAAAACTAGCCAAGTTAGACCTTAGACTACAATATGTTATTATCCTAATTTATAAGAAGAAATGATATTTTATGTTATTATAAATAAATTTCAGGACTGACCATTGAACTTGGCACCCATTTAGATCTCACTTCTTTTGTCGGTGAAGTCAACAACCAAGGCATATATTATCATAATATTGAACTTGGCTCTCATTTCACATTTATGTTTTTGATGGAATATCATTACTTTTTGTACATAAATTATTAGTAGGTACTTATTTATAACAAAATTAATACCAAATGGTTTTGGTGAACTATTGTATTTTCTTACGTTTACGGGGTATAATTGTCTTTTT